GTTCTTGCCAAAATGATTTGGGGCTGGAGGGATGAGAAATGATTTGGGGCTACAAGGATGAGAAATGATTTGGGGCTGGGAAGATGAGCTGGGGGGCAGCTGGCAGCTTTTTCACTGCTACCCTGAATGGCATCAAATTAGCAGGATGGTTTCTGAGGTAGTAGAAAAAGGTTTAATAACAGGTGAAATAACAAAGCTCTTACAGAGAAAAACCAAGCCAGGGGTAAGAGGTCCTTGCTCCTGCTAAAACAAAAGGGATTATTTAATTTTGTTCTTTTTCTAGTGAATTATTCTTGTAAATGCAGGTGAACCCAATGGGAAGAAATGAAATGTCTGACTCAGTTCAGAAGGCTGAATGATTTCTGTATTATAACTATGCTAAAATACATTAATATCCTATATAAAAGGAGGATATTAAAACTAAAAATACTATTTTCTCTGACCAATTCTCCCACAACTCACGACCCTCTCTGAGAGTCCGGCCCCAGGTGGGTCAGGTTGGATTGGATTGGATTGGATTGGATTGGATTGGATTGGATTGGATTGGATTGGGTTGGGTTGAGTTGGGTTGGATTGGGTTGGGTTGGATTGGGTTGGGTTGGATTGGATTGCATTTTCCCAGGAATTGGGGGGGTTTATCCTCAATTTTGAGGTTTTGCTTCCACTTTGGGGTGAATCTCCTCTTTATTCCTGCTGTTCTCTGCCAGGAAGAGCTGCCTGAGCTTCAGGTCACACTGACCTCAAGTCATTCGCTCTCCCTGTGGTAGAGAATTCCTCTTCTTGGATTACACTTTCCTGGGAATTTTGGGGGTTTTTCCTCAATTCTGATTTTCTGGTTCCAGTTTGGGGTGAATCTCCCCTTTATTCCTGCTGTTCTCTGCCAGGAAGAGAACACTGACCTCGAGGCATTCCCTCTGCCTGTGGCAGGGAATTCCTCTTCTCGGACTCCACTTTCCATCTCCCCTTTCCCGGGAATTGCGGGTGTGTTTGGGACAGAACAACAGCCTGAAATTCGTTCCGTTCAGGGATTCCAAACGCGCCATTCCCTCATGCCAGAGTCTGATCCATTGTTAATGGATCAGTGCCTTTCAATGGACCTTTCCTCTTTTGTTTTGACATCTGTCTCCATTTTTTTCCCCCCGGACAGAAGAGCCACGACGTTTCCTCATTACCCCCGTGCCTGACGTCTCGCTGAAAGGAAACCCACGCTCAAACCTCAGCTCCTGGGTGCTTTTTTTTTTTTTTCCTCCCTTTTTTTTCCTCTAAATCCTCTTCCCACCTTTATCCCTTGCCTCGTGCGGATGCTGAGAGGGAGACGCAGCGACGGATTCTGCTCCGGGATTTCGCTGTGCTCGGGGATGCTGCGGAAACCGTTGCTGGGGAGGCGGGTACCGGCGGCTTCTTGCTGCATCGGGCCAGAAATGGATCATCCCTGGGATAATTCCAGCCCGCCTGGGAGCGGGAGGGGGCTCCGGAGGTGGGGATTCCTCAGTTCCGGAGCCGCCGCCGCTCCCCTCACGGTGAGGTCTCTGTGGCGCAATGGACGAGCGCGCTGGACTTCTAATCCAGAGGTTCCGGGTTCGAGTCCCGGCAGAGATGATCTCCAGGCAGGTGTCTCTTTTCTTTTCGTGCCATTTTCCTCCCAGGACCCCCCTCTGCAAGGTTCGTAACGACCCCAAGGGGATGGGACCACTTTTTGGGACATCCCCTGCTCCCTTCTTGAAGCATTTCTCCTCCATCTTCCATTTCTCCTCCATCATCCAGTTCTCCGTCATCTATTTCTCCTCCATCATCCATTTCTCCATCATCAATTTCTCCTCCATCATCCATCTCTTCTCCATCATCCATCTCTCCTCCATCCATTTCTCCTCCATCATCCATTTCTCTTCCATTGATTTCCCCTCCATTTCCCCTCCATCATCCATTTCTCCTCCATCATCTATTTCTCCATCATCCATTTCCCCTCCATCATCCATCTCTCCTCCATCATCTATTTCTCCGTCATCTATTTCTCCTCCATCATCCATTTCTCCATCATCAATTTCTCCTCCATCATCCATCTCTCCTCCATCATCCATTTCTCCTCCATCATCCATTTCTCCTCCATCATCCATTTCCCCTCCATCATCCATTTCTCCATCATCCATTTCTCCATCATCAGTTTCTCCTCCATCATCTCTATCCCCTCCATCATCTGTTTCTTCTCCATCAATTTCTCTTCCGTCAACAATTTCTCCTCCATCATCAATTTCTTCTCCATCATCTCTTTCTCCTCCATCATCCATTTCTCCATCATCCATTTCTTCTCCATCATCTGTTTCTTCTCCATCTCTTTCCCCTCCATCATCAATTTCTTCTCCATCATTTATTTCTCCTCCATCATCTTATTTCTCCTCCATCATCTAATTTCTCCTCCATCATCTATTTCTCCATCATCTCTTTCTCCTCCATCATCAATTTCTCCTCCATCATCAATCTCTCTCCCATCATCAATTTCCCCTCCATCAACTCTTTCCATCATCTCTTTCCCCTCCATCATCTGTTTCTCCTCCATCATTTATTTCCCCTCCATCATCAATTTCTCCTTGGTAAATAAATTCAGATTTTCTCCAGTTGGGAATGTTTGGTAAATTAACCCCGCATGTGTCCCCCAGTACTTTCCCATTTTTGATATTTTCTTCCCAAAAGGTGTTTTGTGCTTTCCAAAAAACCAATTTTTTTGTTGTTGTTGTTTGACAACCCTAGAACCATGAAAAACTCTGGAATGTTCCCCTGATAATCCTAAACCAAATAAAACCAATTTTTTTTTTGTTGTTCGACAATGCTAGAACCATGAAAAACTCTGGAATTTCCCCCTAGCAATCCTAATCTCAACAAAACCAATTTTTTTGTTGTTTTTTGACAACCCTAGAGCCAAGAAAAAATGTGGAATGTTCCCCTGATAATCCTAAACTAAATAAAACCAATTTTTTTGTTGTTTGACAACCCTAGAACCAAGAAAAAAATGTGGAATTTTCCCCTGGCAAGCCTAAACCCAAAATAAACAATGGAATTCTTGGTTGACAACCCTAGAAGCAACAAAAGCTCTGGAATGTTTCCCTGATAATCCTAAACCAAACAAAACCAAATTTTTTTTTGTTGTTTGACAAACCTAGAACCAAGAAAAACTCTGGAATGTTCCCCTGGAAATCCTAAACCAAACAAAAAATTGGGTTTTTTTGTTGTTTCACAACCCTAGAAACAAGAAAAAATGTGGAATTTTCCCCTGGCAATCCTAAACCCAAGAAAAAACTCTGGAATTTCCCCCTAGCAATCCTAATCTCAACAAAACCAATTTTTTTTGTTGTTTTTTGACAACCCTAGAACCAAGAAAAACTCTGGAATTTTCCCCTGGAAATCCTAAACCCCCCCAAAAAATCAATGTTTTTTGTCATTTGACAACCCTAGAACCATGAAAAACTCTGGAATGTTCCCCTGATAATCCTAAACCAAATAAAACCAATTTTTTTTGTTGTTGTTTGACAACCCTAGAACCAAGAAAAAAATGTGGAATTTTCCCCTGGCAATCCTAAAACCCCCAAAAAATCCATGTTTTTTGTCATTTGACAACCATGAAAAACTCTCCCACCCCACGGGAGGATGGACATGGGGGTCTCCAATCCGTGGGATGACTCCACGGGGGGTCTCACCCCACCGGATGATGGACATGGGGGTCTCACCCCACGGGAGGATGGACACGGGGGTCTCACCCCACGGGATGACTCCACGGGGGTCTCACCCCACGGGATGATGGACATGGGGGTCTCACCCCACCGGGTGACCCCACGGGGGTCTCACCCCACGGGATGACTCCACGGGGGTCTCGCCCCACCGGGTGACCCCACGGGGGTCTCGCCCCATGGGATGACCCCACGGGGGTCTCACCCCACCGGGTGACCCCACGGGGGTCTCGCCCCACCGGATGATGGACACGGGGGTCTCACCCCACCGGGTGACCCCACGGGGGTCTCACCCCACGGGAGGATGGACATGGGGGTCTCACCCCACGGGATGACCCCACAGGGGTCTCACCCCACGGGATGATGGACACGGGGGTCTCACCCCACCGGATGATGGACACGGGGGTCTCACGGGATGACCCCACGGGGGTCTCACCCCACCGGCTGACCCCACGGGGGTCTCGCCCCACCGGGTGACCCCACGGGGTCTCTGCCGCCCTGGCGCTCGCCGCAGGCGGGGCAGAAGCTGAAGGCGAATCCCGAGCGGTTCCCGGCTCCGCCGCACCCCGCGGGTCCTCTGTGCGGGGCGCGGCACCGGCGGCACCGGCGGCACCGGGGCGGCCCCGGTGTTGTTCCGAGGCGGTCCCGGGCCGGTCCAAGGGCGGTCCCGAGGCGGTACCGAGGCTGTCCCCGGTGCTGTACCGGGGCGGTACCGAGGCTGTCCCCGGGGCTGTACCGGGGCGGTTCCCGGTGCTGTACAGGGGCGGTACCGGGGCGGCCCAAGGGCGGTACCGGGGCTGTACCGAGGCGGTTCCAAGGCGGTCCCCGGTGCTGTACTGGGGCGGTACCGGGGCGGCCCAAGGGCGGTCCCGGGGCTGTACCAGGGCTGTACCGGGGCTGTACCGGGGCGGTACCGAGGCTGTCCCCGGGGCTGTACCGGGGCGGTTCCCGGTGCTGTACTGGGGCTGTACCGGGGCCGTTCCGAGGCGGTCCAAGGGCGGTACCGGGGCGCTACCGGTGCTGTACCAGGGCGGTACCGAGGCGGTCCCCGGGGCTGTACCGGGGCTGTACCGGGGCGGTTCCCGGGCGGTTCCAAGGCTGTCCCCGCTGCTGTACCGGGGCTGTACCGAGGCGGTCCAAGGGCGGTCCAAGGGCGGATCCGGGGCAGTCCCGGGGGCTGTACCGAGGCCGTTCCGGGGCGGTCCCGGGGCCGTTCCGGGGCGGTCCAAGGGCGGTCCAAGGGCGGTCCCGGGGCGGTCCCGGGGCCGTTCCGGTGCCGCCATGGCCGCCGGTGCGGGGCTGGCGCTGCTGGCGGCGCTGCTGGCGGCGGCCGGTGCCGAGCGGAGCCGGGAGGTGAGCGGGGGCACCGGGGGTACCGGGAGTACCGGGGGATACCGGGAGTACCGGGGGTACCGAGGGTATTGGGGGTACCGGGGGATACTGGGACCGAGCGGAGCCGGCAGGTGAGCGGGGGCACCGGGGGTACCGGGGGTACCGAGGGTATTGGGGGTACCGGGGGGTACCGGGACCGAGCGGAGCCGGGGGGTGAGCGGGGGCACCGGGGGTACCGGGAATACCGGGAGTACCGGGACCGAGCGGAGCCGGAAAGTACCGGGGGGTACCGGGAAGTACCGGGGGGTACTGGGGGGGGTACCGAGGGTATTTGGGCTACCGGGGGGTACCAGGGCCGAGTGGAGCCGGAAAGTGAGCGGGGGTACCGGGAGTACCGGGAAGTACCGGGGGGTACCGGGGCCAAGAGTGTGATGGGAAGGGAAGGGAAGGGAAGGGAAGGGAAGGGAAGGGAAGGGAAGGGAAGGGAAGGGAAGGGAAGGGAAGGGATGGGAAGGGAAGGGGCTGTGGAACTTCTTGGGCTGAAAATTCTCAAGACTGCAGCCAAAGCAGGGACAATAGGACTCATGAGGTAAGACAGAACAAAGCAATTTTCAAGAAAATAGAAAATGCAAGAGCATACAGTGTCTTCTAACAGATAAAGGACTTCTGCAAAGAAATGGATAAAAAGAAAGGTAGAAAAATATTCTCCATGCCCAAGGTGGCCATGGACTGAGAGTGAAAACACACCATTGGAAAGATTCAAACTATACCACAATAATTATTAAAAAAATGTATCAGTGAAAGTGATAAACTGGGATAGGCTGGATATTCCTAGGGAAGGCATCCACAAAGGATCCACAAAGGACATCTCCTAGCTGTTCAACACCAGAGGATAGTCTCTTAGAGGCAGAGATGAAATTTGTGCAAAGAATGTTCCTATGAAAATGTTGGTTATTTCAATGTCCAAGTTCGTGGCGAGAGCATGTCTTTTCTCTTCAGAAGCTATTCTGATTACAGACTGTGACAGTCTTGTTACCAGAACCTCTAAAACTCCAGCTATATACTT